GATTTTCTTTAGGTTGGTTTCTGTGGATTGGAATGCTACCGTAGCACTGTTGTAGTTATTGTTTCCCTTTGTAATGTTGAGTGATTGGATTTTTCCATATTTACTAAGGACATCTCGTACTTTTTTGGGTGAAGTGTGTATTGGAATATCCATGAGTATGTATTGATCCAGTATTGGTTCGATGGTTTCTGAGATTTCTGAAGTTTCTGATGTTTCTGAACCGTCTGAAGCTGATGAGCTTTCTGATGGCGCTTCTTCGTTTGGACTGACGTTCTTGGTAATGTTCAGAATTATGTCTTGTGGTTGTATGTATTTCAACAACTGTTGTTTACATCTATAAGCGTCTGTTGTTTCATTGAAACCAAGACTTATCCACTTGTTTTTTCCTATTGCCAGAACTTGAATTCCCTCGTGTTCGATGGGTACTTGAAGCATGTTGGCTATATCTTGTAGTTGTTTTTCTCTGCTGGTCTGGGGGAGTGGGTTGCATCTAACTCGAAGTTGTACTCTGTCTTGTTTGTTGGTTAGGTTGAATAAGTTGGGATTGTTGTGACTTTGGTTTCCTTCCAGCATGTTGTGTTTGCTATCTTCTGTTTTCTTGTTAGCTTTGATATCTTGCTTGGGGTTTGGGTCCTGTATTGCGATCAGTTCAAAATCCTCTTTGTTTTTGAATTTGTTGATGCATGCTGATCTGTCCTTTTCATGATGAAAGTGGATTGTGTACCATCCATTTCCGTTGTGGAAGTATGGTTGGATTAAATTGTATTTTTTGGCAGGGAGCTTGAAGATATTTGCGAGATACTTGATCTGTTCTTCCTGGTTCTCTCCTGGTGTGTTTGCTATTAGAGTTCCTGCTTTGTATGTTCCTTTTGTGCGAATGTGGTGAGGATTTGTTGGATGGACGACTCTGTTTCTTGTTGCGTAGTCTTCCTTTGCTCTTATGTCTTCCAATGTGTTGGGAATAAGTGTTAATATGTCAGGATCTTCGTCTGAGAGAGATTGCTCTTTCATAACTATCTCGGGGACGTGTGTTTCTTGGTCTTCGGTTATGTTTTCAGAAATTTGTTCTTTCATGATAACTTCTGGTATTTGTTGTTCTTCATTTGCCTGCTTTATTACATCTTCTTGATTGATGTAATTTTCTGGTGTGTTTCGTTTACTTCCTTCAACTGACTCTTGTTGGTAGTTGTGGTTGTGGTTTCTTGTCTCAGGTTGTCCAGAAGGTAATGTGATTTCTTGGTCTTTGTTTTGTGCGTATCGAGGATCTTGACCTGAATGTAGGATATCCACAATCTGGGACACTTGTTGTGAGTCTTCTAGTATGTACCTGTTTAGTATATTCATGTCTAGTTGATTGAACGCCCAGATTTGTTTGATATATTTTTTGGCCAACATCCATTTTACCGCTGTATGTGAGTTGACATTAAGAAGTTTTGCTGCTACTGCATCTATAACTGTGATGTTTACTATTGCTCCTAATTCTGCCAGTTCTGATGCTGTGTTTGTTGCGCCATCTTCGATCAACGTACGAAACCACCTTTGTTCTCCTTCGTTGTGGTTGTCTTCAATCGTTTTGAGATGTTCTATTATTAGGTTTTCTATTTGGATTGGGTTGGAGTCAGCCATTGTTTTGGACTTTTGCTGGGTTGACACGTGTAAACTGGCTTAATTTGTTGTATTGTTTATTTGCTGTGTCTATTTGTTTAAGGAGACTTGTTGTGTACGTGTAGTCGTTACTTTTGGTCTGAGGGTTTGCAGGAGACACGTGTTTCTATAGGATTTAACACGTGGTAGTGCTTATAGACCCGGTTGTGCTTTGTTACTTGATTTGTGATATTTTCACGTTCGTGCTACTGTGGTTCTTGCTTTTTGAAGCAAGCAGCTTTGAGAGGATCTGATATTGTTTTAAGCACGTGTTCGTGTTCCGGAATTTGCTTGCTTGCTTGTTTGTTTATTGCTGTTGTTGTTTGGTTTTTAGAAAAGTACGTGTTCGCGTTGCCGTAGATCCTTTGGAGGGGGTAAACTGCTTCTGGTTTTTTGTCTCCAAAAAATATTTTGATCGCGTAACAATTGTTGTTTATTATTGAGAATTGTTGGAATTTGTACTTTTCTTTTAATCACAGTGTTGAGAAAGTCTTGGGACCCTTCTGGTTTTATGCTAGTGTGCGAGGTTGCCTGGTTTACCGGGTGTGATCTGGCTAGTGTAAGATCCTGCTGGTGTCTAGGGAGGTATCTAACCTGGTACACGACTGGCTGGCAGCTTGTGAAGTGCGGTGCTGACTTTCTCTTTTTACCTTTACTGTGAATTGTATTGCTTGTTCTTCCTTCTTTCCCAGTAAAGAATCACAAGTATCTATCTGTATGTTCTCCTAAAAAATTAAAGAAGAGGGTTAATATACTTTTTGAACCCAAAGTATACCTGTAGTTTGTGTTCTTCTTTGTTTTTCAAGGAGTATTGTGAGGTTTTTCTTTGAGTATTTCCTTGGATGTCTCTTTGGAGTGTTTTTAGAGAATTGCCAAAAAAGGAAATTTTTAGGAATTTTGAGATTTGCGGGAAAGAGTTTTTTTTTTTTTCCAATTTTGATATTGTTTATAATTAGGTTATTTTTGTAAAATTATATGTAAATATGTTGCTGTAGATTAAAATCTTGTGATGGGATTTGAAAAAAAAGAATAGTGAAGATATTGACTTCTTATAAGATATGTTTGTTGTTTTGTGATAAGTTAAAGATTTTATTTATTATATTGAATAAATAGTATTTCTAATTATTAAATGAATTAACTAGTACCTATAATATTGATGCAGATATACTTGTGAACTTTATTTAACAGAAATCTTGAGAGGATAAACTAACTAAACAACCTAAGTATTTGAACAAATTACTGTATTATTGGAGTTTATTGTAAAGTATTTTTCCTTAAGTATTATATATATATATATATATATATATATTGTTTTTTATAGATATTAAATTAGAAATAAGTATTTAAAAATCTAAAAATATTATTTATTATATTATTAATTTATAGGATCAAAATATTTATATTTATAATATTTAAAATATATTTTTAAACACAAAAATAAAATTTTAAAGATTTTTATTTTTAAAAAATTTCAGAAATTATATATATTGTATATTTTATATTTCAATATTGTAAAATCAAATTTCTATTTATAATAAAAATAATTTAATTTTATAAAACAAATTATTAGTTTTTTTTATTTAATTAATTAATTTTAAAATCTATTTTAGTTTTTATATTTTTAAAAACTTTTATATAGCATGTTAATTAAAATTTATTTAATATATTTTTGTTATTGATTCTTGTTTGTAGGGTTTTTTTAAAAGAAAAATAATATATAACAATATAATAAATTTAATAATTAAATTGTAAAATTTTTTATAAATATTAAAAATACCATTTTTAAAATTTTTTTTTTTTTTTTTAGAAAAATTATTTATATTTTATTTTAAAAAAGTATAATAATATTTGAATTTGAATCACAAGAAGTGATTTAAATAAATAAATAAGAATATCTATAATAATAAAAATTTTTAAAAACCTTTTAAGATAAGTAAATTTTAAAAAAAGTTGATCAAAAATCAAGTCACAATAAAACCATCTTTTTAAATTCAAGAAAAAAAAAATTCTAAATTTAAATTATTTGGAAATCAATCAATTAGCTATAAAGTTTTATGAATTATGAATTATTCTAGTTAAAAATGTAGCATAAATGACACCATTAATAAAATCAATTGATTTTACAATAGTTATTACCTACAACCAATGTATCATATAGTTTCAACAACATATGGAATATTGGTTACGTCTGGCTTTTATACGAATAGCAAATTAAGATAACGTTTCACGCCTCAATACCAATAATTTTGCAAAGGGATGAATAATATCATCCTATAAAATAGTAATTCTTTTTTATCTCATTCGAATTCCCTGAAGTATATTTGCAAAAGGTTCATGAGTAAATTTGTTGCTGTATATAAGAATGACTACTAACCACTTGAATTTCAAAAATCTCACTCTAACCGGCAATATGATCATTTAAGTCGTAAACCGGTGTCACTTCCATAGCGGGCCTACCCTCACATCTTATTTTATATAGTATGGTATTTGTCATTGAATATCTTCAAAGTATTTTTTGCTCACGAAAAAACGAAAAGAACCTAACTTTTTAAATATTCTAATGAAAGGGATACATAAAACTTTGTTTGATTCGACACTGCATTGGTATTGTACTAACTCTACGAGTTGGCACTTTACTTCTTTTGTTTCGTGGGGATTTCGTTTAATTATAGTTTGTGGTGAGTTGTTCATTCGGGAAAACGTTAAAAAGAAACAAAAAATCGTCGATTTGTTAGATTATACTAATTGGACTACGTCATCAAATTCACGTGAATAAATGGGAGATCAAACGCATAATGGAAATTGTGTATTAAACGCTTACATTGATAACCGTTGTTGTGAAAAGTAATTATGGTACTTATAATACATTTGGATATTTAAACTTTCAAGATAAATAAATATAAGCCTGCGATACTATAACTCTAAATATTTATTTAGAATAGTTTTTTATTTGATCCATTAAATAAATAATTAATATGGAATAATATAAACTACGTGGATCCTCCCTTCCTTGCTCGTAATTTACTGTATATTAAGCAAATAATTAAATTTGCTTATAATTAAATTGTGTATTGAATAATTAAATACTGTAAATAAGAATGTAAGATCGATGAAGCATTCATTAATACCAAATTAATTGGTATAGAATATAACAAGAGGAAAAAGATCATTGAGAACGGAAGCCTTTTTAAAAGCTTTTATCAGTAAATTCTGACATGTATATCTAGAAATTACGACATTAAAATTCTCCTTTCCTTGATGTACAGATTTAGACTTATAAAAATAAAAAAAGTTTATTAAGCACATAGGCTATTTACATACATGTATAGGCAATTTTAAAACCAATTTATGTTCACTCAGCGTGTTCCGAATTTTTGTTTCGTGAGTCTTTCTAATTCGTCAAGATCTCCACTAGATTCGCACATTCCCCTAAACATTGATTTTGGTTCTCTTATCAACTTGGAGGGTGAATCAAACTCGACCACTTTTCCAGCATCTGGTTTTGTCATAGGCAAATTTTATTGAATTAATAATAGTTATGAAAATGCAGCATATCAAAATGTATAAGGAAAGAAAATGGTACCCATAACCAAAATCCGATCGTAATCTGCTATTGTTCTTAATCTATGCGCAATAGTGATCACTGTGGAATCTGTAAATTCCTCACGGATGGTTTTCTGTATTAAAGAATCGGTCCTAAAATCTACACTGGCCGTTGCCTCATCCATTATTATTAATTTAGAATTTCTAACCAGCGCCCTGGACAACGCTATAAGTTGCTGTTGTCCCTGGGAAAAGTTGTTCCCATGTTCTATTACAGGACTATCCAGGTTAAACCCCTCATATCTATTGGTGTTCATCGAAAGTTCCGGTACCTTTTCTTGAGTATGTAATGATAAATGATTTTTAGCTTCGCCATTGCCATTGATTAGGTGAGCTCTTCGAAGTGCATTCCACAGTGTTAAATCATCGTGCTCATTGAACGGATCGAGGTTTGATCTGCAAAAATTTTGACAAGTCATTCATAATAGATTGTTTTTTTCCGATCATTTGAACAAAAGATGACGCATAAATTACCTTAAAGTACCGTTAAACAAAACCGGATCTTGTGGTATAATGGTTATTCTACTTCGAAGGTCTCTTAGGCCTATTGTGGTGATATCAATATCATCGATCATGATTTGCCCCGATGTCGGTTCGACTAATCTGAAGAATGATGTCGCTAGCGTGGATTTGCCGCAACCTATTAAAGTAATCGATTACCACCACCACGGGGATACATGTTTCGATTTTTTATGAAAAACCTGCCTACCAGTTCTTCCAACAATTCCTATCTTTTCTGACGCCTTTATGTGAATTGAAACTCCCTTTAATACCGGAGGCATTTCGGGTCCATATTTTATCACGAGGTCTATAATCTCTATATCACCCTTAAAAGGCCATTCTGGTGGTGGTCGATTCTGTTCAATAATTGGTTCAGCTTCCATTTCCAAACTGTTGGCATAATATATCAAGCGTTCTACGGCGTTCATGTTTGCTTCCTGTTATTTTTTGGAACATTGACAAAATAAATAATAAAAAAGGGGGAAAAAGTAAAGGAAAGAAAAGCGTGACCGTACCACTTCGGCGGTTTGTCTAATGCAATAATTGAAGTTCACGTTCACCTGAGTCGCATAACTTAGAATCAATCCTGTGATCGTGGGCAACACTTGGAATCTTTCAATGACCGACAGCAGGCCGGCACAGTACATAAGAACATTGGCAATTGTTTCAAGACGAATCCCGAGCCATCGTTGAATCGCGATGGTCAGATAGTATGCACGATTTTCCAGGTCCATGAAATGTTCGTTGATCCTGTTATTTATCATTTAAGCAACTTGAATTCATTGGATTTTTATTTCCGGTGAAAAGTTAAAATACAAATGCATACTCGGTGAATCGTTTTTGTTCGCGATATGCGCGAATTGTAGAAAGACCGGTCAACGTCTCCGAAAAGTGAGCATACAAAGAAGATCGCAATATGGAATCAATACCTATTAAAATAAAAATAATTTTTTTTAGTGACATGATTTCCTTATTTCCGAACGAAAAAAAAAAACCGTGACTTACGCCTTAATTCACGATTTGTAGCCCGAAAATAAATGGACGAAAAGTAATATAGGGTGATGAGTGGCACGAAAGGAATGAAGAACCATTGATATATCACGATTATTAGGAAGAAAGTTCCAAAAACTAGAGCAGCAGTTGTAAAAAACATTCGATAAGACTCCGGGAGCAAATTATCGCAAGTGTCTACATCTCGGCTAAATCTTTGATTGGTCATGAACAAAAAACTCTTAATAACGCATCATGATCAAACGAGCTCCAAGACTTACAATAATTATCCTCATCTACCTATTGATTATGCGACCTAAAGGTGTCGTGTCAAATAATTTTATCGGTGCTCTCAAGACTCTCTTGACCACTTTGGCGTGTAGGTCTTTTGCGGCGACCAGTCCCGATAACGAAAATGACAAAGCAACCAAAATACTGAAAAATCCTTCAGAGGCGCCCCAAGCGCAATATATTATCATCTATTTTACGAATGAAAGATCACACGTTTTTGAGTGATCATGTCACGAATCAAGTAACAACGCGATTTGGCGAACTTACATAAAGATTGGTTGTCAGTCCGAATTGGTCGTTCGTCCAATATGAAAGCCACAAATTGTTTCTTTAGGTAATGTGAGAAAAGTATCGCGTATCAGTATTCCCCCGTGATATTTTCATTAAACGAGAATGATCGTGATATGTGCACCCACCCAATATTACTTCCTTGCATCATAATTAACAAAAATAAAAGGATGGGTATCAATATAATGCCACCGGCCGATCTTATGTAAGTCAGATAAACTGAATTTTCTACCGCGCCGGTGACCCTCTCCTCCTGCTGCATCAACTCTTTGGTCGGAAGAAATCCGGATAAATTTACTTTGGTCTTTGTGCTCTCCGCATTTAGGTCCAAAATCATTTTCGACTCCTCATTCCTTTCGTCCTCGCCAAACTCTTTAATCAATTTCGAAAACCTTTCATTCTCCTTCATAAGTTGTTCATAGGTTCCTTGGCCCGAAATTTTACCCTCGTCCATGAATATTATGTAATCCACCCGAGAGAGAACTTGCAAATGGTGGGTCACAAGCAAGCGCGTCTTATTCGCAAGTGTTTTTTGAATGCAATTCGTAAAAAGATAACCTCCGACATGTGAATCAACGGCCTTGAAGGAAAATAGATTCGTTAATCATGCGGAGACGTTAACAGGAAATTGTTATGAACACACAATATTGCTTAAACACTTGCGGATAACGGATCGTCCAACAAGACTATGTCAGCATCAAAATAGACAGCTCTTGCGATGTTAACGCGCTGTTTTTGCCTGGGGACATGAGAGAGCAAGTGAGCACATATATGCATTTGTCGTTGTCATGATATCAACCGTAGTTACCCTCCGGATAGGTTAATTCCTTTTTCGCCAATTTCGGTCATGTCTCCAGCTGGCAATATCCCAAGATCAGGTTCAAGGCAACAATCCTTAATCACCTGATTATACCTCTCTTCATGAAAGGGTAAGCCGAAAGTCACATTCTCACGAAGTGTTGCGTTTTGGATCCACGCACTTTGTGGACAATATCCAACATTCCCGCCAAAAACAACTTCTCCATGAACTTTCTTCATTTCACCCACAAGTGCAGACAGCAATGACGATTTTCCCGAACCAACGGAGCCCACTATTGCCACAAGTTTTCCGCGGGGAATCGAAAGGTTAATATTTCGAAGCTGAGACCTGGGCGCATTCACATGCTTAAGCTCATCGGTCATTTGGACTGGAATGAGGGAAACGGTGGATGAGGTATTATCATCTATGGATTCCTCCACCGCCGGAGTATTTTTTTCATCATTGAGGTTCTCTTTCGTCGTCTCATCAACTTTCAAATTCTTTGGTTGCTCTAGGGATGACGTGCCTTCCCACATGAATTCACCGTCTATTACTTTAATCGCAAAGTCACTTCCAGTGTCGACTTCTGGCAAAAAATCCAACTCCTCGGCTAATAATAATTCTTGTATACGACCGACGGCCACCCAAGCATCCGAAGTAAAACCGATGACCATGGGTAGAGTTTTCAGGGGAAAGCGAACAACGTTAAATAAGGCCAATGATGTGAAGACGATGTCTGCCGTGAGATTACCGCCAGCTAGTACAAATACGATGAAAGAGAGAATGCTTGCGAATACCGGAATAACCTGATCATTTGAAGGGCCATTACAAACATATTAAAAAGGAAAGTGGCACTCTCGGTAAACCTTTTCACAAGAAACCGTGAACTCACCGAGGATATACCCAAGATGATGGCACGTATAAGCAATAGGTGCTTGACCAAGCCAATCTCCTTGGATCTTAATTTATTCAAATTTTCCAAAAAACTATCTTCCCACGCATAATATTTTATAACTCGAATTCCTTGTAATAGTTCTTGAGTCAACTTGACGCGTTCATCGGTGACTTTTTGCGCGTCTCTTCGGGTATTGACCAAAGAAGCCATTACCTTTCCTTGCAAAGGGCCGGCAATAATCAAAAGCAAGAATCCGGCCAATGCCGCAGGGCCGATATTGAGAATCAACAGCAAGAGGGCAATCGAAAGTTGTAGTGGTGCAGCCCACAGAAGGTGAAAGTAGACGAGGCAATTGTCAACCCGTGTGGTGTCCGTGGACATTATGTTTGTTATTTTTCCGGTCGTGAAAATATTACGCGCTTTTCCGCTCAGAACCAAGGTTTTCCTGTAAATTGCGGTGATTAAGATCGTGCGAGTCAACAATCCGGCCTCCATACATCCGTAAATGGCCCAATGGTTGAATAAAGTGGCGAACATTGTTGTAAGAAATAAAATGGTCACGAGTATGTAGCCGACAGAAGATGGTGGTGGTATGGTGTTGTTCGAACTGGCATAGTACGAATTAATCGCAAAAACCAGAATAGCCTATGCATAGAATTTACGGGTTATCGCTTTTTTTTTTCATTTTTAAGACAAATCGTTAATCACTTACGTACTCGTATGATCAGGGGTGACAAAACAAGTAACAAATCGCTCATGAACCTTGCTCCACCGGTAGTCCACAGTCTAAATCCGATTACGCGATTAAGAGCCTTAATTAACGTGAATTTATTTGCGGATACTTGTTTCTTGAGCTCGTTTTTCCATTCTTGTTCAAATTTATCCGTGATGATTTTAGCCTGTCGAGCGGAGCTCATAACATAGAGATCGTCCTTTTGCAGCGGCCGTTTATATCCGAGTTTCAGGAGATCACTTACCCACCAAAATGTTATTAGCGAGAGTATGTTTGCATTCTCCTCCGGTATAATTGTCTCCGGCTTTGGTAGAATTTGTTCCTCTGCTTTCCAAGAGACCATCTTTGTCAGTGATCGAGGATCAATTTTGTCTTTAACATACGGTGACCGTACAATGCCACAGATACAAATACTAGGACCGAAATTTTGTAAGTTACTAAACAAAGCAGAGAAACCGTGTGTCATGTAGCACACACCAAGTAAAGTTCAAGAAATTGACGTGTAGAATGTGTGGCGGCAAGTAAGGCTTTGATTCACATCATTCCCAATTGACAATTTTTAGCTTTCATATCGTTATTAGGAATGCAGGAGAGGCTATGGTAGGCTGTTAAATGATCTTGAACAAGCCCCAATACTAAAGTTTATATAAATTTTGGACTCGTAAAGGCAAAAAATGCGTGAGTTTGTATATATGAACTGTAAATAATGAGATCAGTATTTATCATTTTGTTGATTGTGTTTGTGTTCACGAATGAGTTTTGGAAAAGTGAGGCATACCCTTACTCAGAGGCGAGTGAAAACGGAAAATTTTTGCACCTTACCGGTAATCAATCTAGATTTACTTAGCAATGCATTCATGCATTAGAATATTATTACCACGATACACACTGTAATTTTTTTTTTTTTTGTTACTCCTTCTACAAGACATCCATCTTGATCCCTTATACGTGCCAAACAGTGATCCCGCTGAATGGTGTCATCGTCCAAATAAGAGCAACCCTTCGGCAAATACGGCCGGGAAATTCGGAGCTCTTCTTTCACCATGTGACACCCCATACGCGCTAACGAATGCCACATTTTCATTCTTTAAATCTTCCGTTCAAGATATCGATTTCATCATTTATACTGGTGATTTTGTCAGGCACGACCGTGACAAAGTAATTCCCAGAACCAAGGAGGAAGTCATCTTTGGGCACGATATTATAGTGAAATATTTTAGCGAGGTCTACGATTTGAAGAAAATCAAGTTTGTACATATTCCAATTTTAAGATGAAGCGAAAAGTTGATATTGCGTGAGCATCTTTCACTTTATTAAAGTTCTTTTGACCTCACAGATCCCTACGCTCGGGAACAATGATGAATTTCGTGAGTAGATTTAGACAAAAGTATCGTCGTAATTCTACGTTTATCGCGACGAAATCTTTTCAAACAATCATCTGCCTTTTCGATGAAATAAAATAAAAAAAATACGCAGTACATGATACACTTCAGCCAGGTCCCAACAAAGTGCTGATGGCCATCAAAGAATCTTGGGATCCTCTAGGCCTAAATCTCACCGATGACTTCCTCAACGGAGGCTACTTCCGCCAAGACATTCACTCAACTCTCACAGTTCTCAGTCTAAATTCCATTTACTTCTTACCTTCCAATTCAAAATCACCCGATTGCGACATCCCTGACTCACCTGGGAAGAAGCAATTTGATTGGATTGAAAGAGAGCTGAGCAGTGCTGTAGCCGAAGGAAGAAAAGTTTACCTCATACAACACATTCCTCCCGTCAATGTCACAGGTGAGCACGTGAAAAATCGAGGAACGAGACGGGTACTAGATTTATATTGACCTATTTTTTTAGGGTACAGTCAATATAAGACGCATTGTTACAGCCTTTATGTCGATATGCTTGGTCGTTACCATAGTATTATTTATGGTCACTTTACCGGTAGGGTAGTGCTTGTTGATAATTGTTTGGGGGATTTTTTTTTTCATATGTACAGTAAATTTGATAAACGTTGTTTGTTTTGCAAATATATGATCGAATGTAAGGACATACCAACGAGGACAATGTGGCATTCCTTGTTAAAAACGGCACATCCTCGTATTCGCTTATAGGGCTTGGTGATCCTAAGACGCTTTCCTCATCCTCTAATTACGAAAACATCGTGTTACCATTATATAATGCACCGTCAATTGTGCCTGGTAGGTGGTGATTAAATATTCATTACCGTTTCACCTGGCATATTTACATTATTCACATGTTTATCTCGAAAAAAAAAGACATCAATCCTGCATTCCGTATATTCTCTTATTCCACCAAAGATTCGGATTATGGTCTACTCCAAGATTACGTGCAATATTACGCCAACTTGACAACCGCCAACAAGGAAGGAAATCTCGTTTGGGAAATTGAATACGACGTTTTGGATGCCTATAACATGAAAGGATTAAGCACGGACAATTGGCTGAATACCTTGAATGAGTTTGCCAAAGCGAATTCCACCGCTTGGAAACTATACAAACTTTATCTTTTTACAAACACTCACGTTGAAGGACCGTATTATGCTTTCTTATCCAAGTTGGATCATTAAAAATAATCAATTGTTTATTTATGTTCAAAATTTGAGACAAGTTCTATGTTTCGTCGGGTTTCATTCCCGTTTTTTCGTTTATGCCTCCCAGCCTTTGGCTGACCAAATAAATGCGTGTAACCTATCGTCATGCAATCGGCATTGGCATCATTGTTCACCGCGAGATGTGCAATAGGGTCTAGTTGAGGCGTGTTATGCCTTACCTGGTCCCCATTTCTTTCATTTTATTTGCCCCATTTTCGTTGCTCACCTGTTTCCTTTATATATTGTATATACGACGATACGATACGATACGATAAGATACGATATGATTGAATGCATGAATCCTCGAGTCTATTGAATGAAATGATTTTTAAGATCATGTGTCCAATCGAATGAAGTGCCGTGTCCATGGTTCGAGTCAACATCTCTTTTTTGAGGCTTCTGACTGTCGAATATTCATTTGACATTCACCATATATTTATTTATACAGTACATTACCCCAGATGACACGTAGAAAGACAAGTAAATTTGTTTAATATTATAAATAAATTTGTCATATTACTGTATTGGCTTATTAATATAAAATTCGGTGGTTCCGAAAGAACCTTTGATATGTCAAATTGGTTTTCCTTTCTATTTTTATTTTTTTTGTTCGTCGCTCCTCTGATTACTAAGTGCATCATACTGCAAAAATGAATTCTTTGTCGTCGTTTGAGCACACATGTGTGGTACAGTAGAACGGACCTTACGTCGGTTGAAGAAAATTTTCAAGTACAGCGCATACGTACTTCTTAATACATATTATAGACTGGGTGCGAAATGAAAACCAATACCATAATGGGATCCATGATTCTAATCGCAAATCCGGCGGTCATTTGAATAATCAACGAAAATGATTATGGAAAAATTGAGATTTTCCCCACGCTCTTGCGTACAGTAGTATTCTTAATAACCGAACTACTACAGTGACCATTGAAAGTAACGAAGGCTTCTTCTTGTGCACGTACGTATCCGAATTCGAATTTTTCGAATATACATAAAACAAACCTCTTCATTCTCACTAATTATTTTAAGCAGAAACCAAAATACAATACATCTGGATGCACACCCTTCGGTCACGGAAAAGGTTTCACGGTCGACAAGCCCAAAAATGGCGAACAACAAAGCTCTCAAATAGGGACTGTTGCCAAATTGGTAACTTTTTGAAAACCCTTTCACAACTTCATTCATTATTTATCCGCCACAGTGAAATTCAATGTGAAATTGGATTTTCCTTTTTCAAGGACCTTTTAGTCTGGAACTTGAAACAAGGTTAACTTATGTAATTGTGGATTAAGATTGATTTTCAGGATATTGGTTGCGCAACGAAAATCTCTACGAAAGATCCTGCTCTAAACCAATTGATGTGACCTTTCACAAATTTCGAAAATTCCGGCACCTTAGAAATCTTCTCATGCGAAATATATAAGCTTGAAACGTCCCCTCTTGAGTGTCGGACGAGTGCTGAGAATCCTGGACATAAAAATTTTCAACCATTTTCTCGGTAAGTGTGTCTGACGAAAGATGGAACTTTTAAAGATAGTTGCACTTGGTGACGCGACCGAAAGCAAGGTAATGATAATAACCATAATATGGAATCTCAATGTCTCTATCGCAAAACTTTACGTTCTTATCTAAAAAAAAAAAAAAAAAACATATTACTCAACCAGACGACCCTTGTGACCCAGGTAACCATGCGGTTCATCTTTGATCTTGTTCTCATTTGACTCCACCATCCATATTAATCACGTGTTATCGATGAATCAGTACTGTCTGAATCATTGCGTCAGTACGTAATTTTCATTCGATTCTATCAATCAATCAAATAACCTTTAATTCCAAAAAATCAATCAAATCAATCTAAACGTAAATTTCAATTTTTTCGCTAACCACCGACGTTCATCTAGAGGTTCGTGTCAATACTTTATTTTTTATCATAAGCGTACGGTGTGAATTCATCCCTGTGGTCTGTGTGCATTGATTTTTTGATCTCTTTCTGCAATGAAAATCAAAGAGCTATGCCCTGCTCATCGAAGACACGTATCAAAAACAAGTGGTGGTCGACGGTCAACCATACACTGTGGAAATCAAGGATTCCAGCGGACGAGGTATTTGACCCTCGTCGATATTTGATCATCTTGTATTCGTTGAATGAATGAAGAGAGTAACTAACATCACGTTAATCATCTTCCTGCAGATGAGCACAGAGCGTTATTGGACCAATCGATTAGGTAAAATAGTATGTCCAAGTCTCATGCCGAATCAACGGCGCCTTTACAATATTTTAAAAATCACTTTTCACAAAGTACAGAGATGCCGAGGCTTTTGCACTAGTCTACAGCGTAACCTCTCGCGAAACATTTGCCAGGATCGAAAAGCACTACAACCGCATCATCTCGCTCAAACAAGATTATTACGAAGAGATACCTTCCGCTACCGAATCTTTGGTTCGCGCCGGCTTAGTTCGAAGATCTTCGGTTCACAAGACGTCACCCATGATTCCAATAATGATAATCGGTGACAACTTCGACAAGGTAGATAAACGTGAAGTTTCACGTGACGAAGCTATAAGATTGGCGGAGAGATTGGAATGCAAATTCCTGGAGACATCAACCAAGACTTCGGTGAATGTGGAAATGTGTTTTGATACGTTGATTCGGATGATCAAGGAAAATCGAGAAAGAGGGATCGAAGGAAATGATGATGATGATGATGATGCGGTAAACGTTGAATCGAAAAGATGGGAAAATGAGCGGCTCAGAGAAGAGGGCAAAGATGTGAGGAAAGGAAGAACATTGAGAAATGTGCTATGCTGTGGTGAATAGAGATTGCTGCCAATACACTCTTTTATGCCTTCCTATGGTAAGCCATTATATATGCCGTACACAACAAAACTTTAGATGTAAGCTATTACTTTAAGAATTAAGAACCACAATCACTGAAAATGTAAGATCATAATATAATCAAATTAAAGATTACTATGAGTAAAAAATGTGTTATTATAAATTGAAAAGATTATTGTTTTCAAGCAAGACAAATGATTTCAAAAAATTAATGCTAGTACGACGCGGAAACAGTACAAATTATATTAATTGTATAATCGGCGAGTGATGCCACCTAACTACTATTCCACGAGCGAGATAACGATGGCACTAGCTCCGCCACCTCCATTGCAAACACCTGCCACCCCGACCTTTCCATTCTTCCTCTTCAACACATTAATCAGTGTACAAATAATTCTTGCTCCCGAACATCCCAATGGATGACCCATGGCTACTGCACCTCCAAACACATTCACCTTTTCTTTGGGCAACCCGAGCAGCTTGGTGTTTGCAACCGCCACCACCGAGAAAGCCTCGTTGATTTCAAAATAATCAACTTGTGAAATCGGTATGTTTCCAGCATTCTTTAATGCCTTGGGAATAGCAAGGGATGGAGCTGTGGTGAATTTAGATGGTGCCTAATTTTTTGATCATGTGCGAATGCGGATTTGGGTTATCGATGGCGAACATGATCAATCAGTTATCTCATGAAGTTTTCATTACCTGAGCAGCGTCTGCCCATCCTGAAATTTTGGCAATGGGTTGAAGTCCCAATTCATGCAACTTTACTGAGCTGATCAGAACGATAGCTGAGGCACCATCGCTTAAGGGGGAGGAGTTAGGAGCAGTGACGGTTCCGTTCTCAGACTTGAAAACGGGACGTATGGTTCTCAATTTTTCGGCGTTGAGCTGTGCGAGAAAAGAACAAGATTAACGACCTGATGCTTGTCAGACCCATAGAACCAAAAATTTATTTATTTACATTAGTGATTTCGTCGTCTTGAGTGATAACCTTGTCAGGTTTCCCTTTTCCTCCAGGGACAATGACGGGAGTAATTTCGTCGGCGTAATGTCCATCGGCATACGCTGCTTGAGCACGTTGATACGAAGAGATGGCAAAGTCATCCTGGCATCAGGGTAAAATGGTAAATCACTTTCTTGAGATGATAAGTGAAAGATGAATGAGACAACGTACTTGTTCTTGGCGACTAATTTTATGGTCGACGGCACATTCTTCGGCAGCCATTCCCATAAGATAATTGTTGTATACATCGGTGAGACCATCTTTGACAATCCCATCCACAAGCGTTTGGTCACCATACTTATATCCGAACCTAGCTTTGGGAACATAATAAGGGGTGTTGGTCATCGACTCGCAGCCGCCGGCAACTACAATCTACACAAAGAAGGATTAAAGGAGATCAATGAGAAAAGCAAATTATCATCGTTTTTGTCGAAAAATATGATGAACCGAAAAATGGTCAGTATATCTACATCGGCGTGACCAGTGAGAATTGTTTGAGCGCCCAATATAACAGCCTTCATGGCCGACGCGCAAACTTTGTTAACAGTCGTCGCAATCACGGTATCAGGAAGCCCTGCACCCAGTGCTGCCTGACGAGCCGGATTTTGACCTAAATGGATGAATGATTTGTTAAAGTAAACAACAATCTTTCCTTGTAAGCATGTTGAATGAAAGATTTGTTAAAGTAAACAACAATCTTTCCTTGTAAGCATATTGAATGAATGAACGAATCTTACCCAGATTGGCGGACAGAACGTTTCCAAAAAATACCTCGTCGACCTTGTTAGGATCGACATTTGCCTTTTTCAGAGCAGCTATTAAAGGGAGACGAAGAGAATGATCGTTGCTCTGAGAGACATCATCAAGTAACGTCGCGATGCTATCTTGCGTATTTCAAAAATCATAGAGGCATAAATCCAGTGATCACATTGGACATCTCACCTTCAATTGCAATCGACCCAAGTTTCGTGGCGCTGAAAGATGCCAGCGAACCATTAAATCCTCCAATGGGTGTTCTTGCGTAAGCAACGATGTAAACTTCTGAAAAAATTGGAAATCCATATTACACATACATTCTGAAACGAAGAATGAAGATTAAAAATACACAGGATTTTAAGTAACCTTTAGGAGTTGTCATGTCTTTGGACGTTTTAAAAAAAGAGAGAATGAAAGAAAAGAGAATAATGATCGAATCAAAAAAAAAAAAAGGTAAATACGTACGTAAAAGATCGATGGTAATATAAAAACGGGTGTAGAGCGCTAGTGCTAATATATCCTCAATACTAATGACATTATTGGCTTGTGTCACGGTTTACATGGATTGTAACTATGACCATCATGGTTTCAAAAACCAAACAAAGTTTCGCAAGAATGTTGACGCGAGATTCGATCTTTAACAATGTGTTCGAGGAGTCGAGAAGAATCGGGACACGAAGCTGAAGAGGCAAGGCCAAGAAAGAAATAGATCAATTCATTAATTAATCGATCCAAAACAGAGGAAAACGGAAATGACGTGAGGCCGCTTCCCAAGAGTTCGAGAAGAAATCACTTTGACTGTAAGTCTCGATTCACCCTTATGATAAACGATTTGAATGTCATCAGTTTGTGTGTGGTAGCGTTTACGACGATTCAATCCTAAGTAAGAATGATTCTTACCATTGAGATGGGAAAACTATTCACTTAAAAAGCATTACACCGTCGCGCCTTACGTGGAATTTTTCCTTCATGTTGACGCCTGACACACATATATCAGTCGACTTTTGTAATGAATACGTAATTCAAAGATGGTTTGACTGTGTGAAATTTTATCAAGTAATCTTCTGTCACCAATAACAACAATAATATGATATGCTGTACGTATGAAAAGGCTATTAATTTAAATCAATCGGTAATGGATTTGAGCAAGTTGAGAATAAAAACGGATCTGGTAATTTATAAACAGATTTTAGGTTAAAAAAAAAGAAGGAAGCTTTGAGTTAAATCCAATCCATTAATGACAGGCGAAACATTGATGGGACATTGCGTGTCAATCATGCTAATAATCATAGTGAACTGGGATGCGTTACTTTATTAAACCATAAATCAACTAGTGATTCCTTATAATAAATAATATTAATGATAGTAATAATAAATAAAATAATAAATCTGACCCAAAAGAGGAACTCGAATTTTTGAGATTACAGGAATCAAATTTGAGACATAGAAAAATGAAGTGTACTTAGGATGAAGACAAAATACATGTTTATGGGAGATTGCAACAATTGCAATTTTGAAAGCTTAGATTGATTCGTACCGTTTTTTTAAGAAGTATTCATTTACCTAAAAATTTTGTTCATACAATTATTTACAACCTTAAGACATGAATTTCGTCGCCTTTTCGTGGTCCTTGGTACACTCTCCCGATTTCTTATCATTCTGACGATCGTGTGAAACGCATTTTCCACGTTCACATGTGTCTTCGTCGATGCCTCGATGAACTCACATCCCAATCTTGTTGCCATCCGAAGGCCTTCTTCAGTGGTAACCTCCCGTTCGTCCTTGTCGATGTCATTTCCAACCAGTAGCATTGGAGATTTACCATAATCCATAACCTTTGTCACCTGGCCAACGAACCCTTCGATCTTATCAAAGGTTAACCTGGACGACGTGGAGTAGATAAAAAGGAATCCATCCCCGTTTCTATAGATTGCATTTTATAGAAGTTCGTGAACCTGTCGGTTGGATTTATTCATTCACGACCAATCATTTACCTCATCCACTGATCCAGTGATGTGTACTCTCCTGGTAGATTTCAGATAATTGGAATTTAAAATTTTTTGTCAATCGCGATTGGTCAAGAACAACAGAGCATCCACAAATTGAAAAGAACCTTGTCCAGAAAAATCCAAAACTTCCATAATACAAGGCACATCGTCCACAATCTCCTGCTTTCGGTACGAATCTTCGATTGTTGGATCGTATGACTTTTTTTCAAAGAAAAAAAAAAAAAAAAAATCACTTAAACTGTACCACTTCTCGTGATATACTAAGGCATGCATACCAACCTCTATCAATGATTGGATGGAATTTGGAATTAGTGCACATTCGATAGGCTGAATTTAAAAAAATTAAATGTCCATACCAGAGAAAGGGTTCTGGAAAAACTAGAGATGACAAAAGATTTCTCAGCGCATGAAAAAAAATGAAGTGGAAACAGAAAAAAATATATAACATTGCATTAACAAGAATCTTCCAAACCTGAATGGTGAAATCGCTCTGCGGAAAAAAAAAAAAGTCAAAAGGAAGTAAAGGAAAAAAAACAATCGAGTGTCATGTTACCTTATTAGCATTTTCATCTCCAAGAATTAATATCTTGTATGAAATCATTTGGAGGAAAAAATTTTCGGTGGAGAGATATTCTTGATTTTGCGATTCGATGTGGTTGAGTTTCGTTAAAGAAGGAATAATCAAGAGAGAAGGTAAAGGGATTTTTGATCACTCTAGGTGAGACGAATCACTTCTTGTGAATCTTACTCAAAGGAATGAATGATGAACTAAGAGAAGTGAAAAACGTCCATTACTGTGTGAGCTTCGGCATATTCCTTACGAATTTATACTAAATAACGACTTTTATTTGTAACACGGCAAGTACCAATGTCTAATCACCTAATTGGGAGAAAATATGTGGGGCACATTCGGATTATGGTAGGTTGATTATACTGGTTATTTACCGGAGAGAGAGAGAGAAAGAAAGAAAGAGAAAGAAAGAAAGAAAGAATTCGCAGACGTCAATTTTTGTTTTTTCGCGTGTTGACATTTCTTGAAATTATGCGTGATAGAACAAATTATCAAAGACTACATAAAATATTTGATGGCATGTCCTTTGGTGACTTCCTTCATCTAAACAATAAATAGCATTATGCAATGGTAATGAACCGTTGCGAGACGGTTACCCTTGTCTTGAGGGAGATCAAAGCCAATCCATTGGAAATTTCGACTTTGGCCTCGGCATTCGCGTCAATTCTATTAAGGAAAAACGCATCAGTTACGAATAATAGAATGATTACGCAATCGGCTTTCCGGTGACTTACTTGTCCGGAGAATCTACTTTAAATTCGAACATGTTTTCCGGGATGTTGTCAATAAGAATGGTCCCCGGTACTCTGATATGTTGAAGCTTTCCTGTCACGGTTATTTGACAATCGTCGTTGCCAACGGAAATTTCGAGATCTTCCTTTGATGAAAGTCCCGGAGTTCGGGCAACAATATGCACATGTCCGTTTTTGCTGTCATTATAGACGGCAAAAGACGGACTGAGAACATTTGATCGTACCACTGTGGCTACGGCTGCTTCATCAATACAATCGAAAGCCCCTCTACGTATCATTTTAATAAAATTATTAGAAAAGGATTTTCCTCAAGTGAACTTTGAATTTTAAATTAAATAAACTTTTCGTTATTATTCATTTTGATCTCAATCACGTGAATGAATGTCCAATGAATCGAACATAAAACGGCGTGCTATCATCACGACAGACATGTGTTATTTAGTTACATAAGCACATACAGTACATAATGTGAATCGATTAAAAATGGTAAATGTGGTAAATGATAAATGATTCTCCTTTTAATGATTTACGATTCCGTACATTCATTATAATTTTTATAATTTTACAATATGTCGTTTGATATGACACTAACTCGAAATTGCATTCCGCATTGAACATCAACGCACCACGCAACACTCCTTAAAGTTTACCATTCCACTCAACCTTTTGCAAAAAATTTCTTTCCCTCATCCAAATTTTCGCCCTCCCTTTCCCTCTCCCTCCCTTTACCCTTCGTGCGTGCTCAATTCCAGTTGAACTGACTGATCTGTCTCATTTCTTGCGTTTCCTTGTATCAATATTTCACGTTAATAAACGTTTCATGTATGTTACGCGTTCGCTTCCTGGAGCAGAAATAAAAGGTCACTTCCTTATCACGAAATGTTATAATATATATGACGACAGACTAGACAGACTGTGAAAAACATAAATATTGTATCTAATTTAATGACAAGAAAATGACATCTCTCAAAGGACTTTACTTTAAGGGCTTCACGAAAACACTTCTCCTCAAAATGCTAATCTCATTCTTCTTCCGCGGTGCCTTTGCTCAAGAAAGCACCATTCTTATGTCGGAAATCACTGAGCTCAACTGTCCAAAACCAATGATTTGGTACACCGACTCTAACATCACCACCGACATGTACTGCATAAATAGATGTTGTCTGCCTTGCCCATACCTCGACAATTTCTATCCCGATGGTGAATTGGACAGAACATACAAGACGTTTGCCGTGTTCGGAATTGTTAGCTTCTCTATCATGCTCATACTGGCCGCCTTGTTCTTGGTATTGCCTAGTCAAAGGAATAACCAGACCACCAAACAAATTTTGTTACCGTTAGTGTTAAGCGTTTGTTGTTTCGAATTTGCGGAATTTTTCACTTTGCAACAGCAGAAGAGTCAAGTAAGTCAAGAGTAGACGTGAAGGTTAGAAATGATCCAAGAAGTTGGAGCAATTTATGATTTCGTTTTTCGTTCCTAAAATCTCCCTTTTCAACAGTGCACAAATCCCGTCTTAAGAGCAAACATAAGTGATAACCATTACTGTGCGACACAAGGTACTGTAAAGTTTGACCTATGGTAAATTCAACATCATCATTAACTCTTCCTCATAATATTTGATAAATAGCATTTTTTACACTCGGCGGTGCGTACGCTGTAGCCTCCTGGGCAGCATTGCTCATGTTGCATTTACACTTGGTGGGTCGTAATTCCTGTGAAAAATTTTTTTTTTTTTTGGAGAAACCTTGGGCCTCATATCTTTCTTCCCATCCAGATCTCGGTCTGGCGTTCGGAATTCATCACTCGCAACATCTTCTATTTCAATGTATACATCTGGGGTACATCCTTCCTGGCCGCTGTTATACCAATGTCGATTGGCAAAGTGGAAGCCAATAACATCTGTTTCATTCAATATGACTACGCTTCCATCTATTACTATTTCTTGAGCTTTATTTACGTCGCATTCCTGGCTCACCTGATAACTTTTTCTCACATGGCCAAGGTAAGAGGTGATCAACGCTGGAGTCACTCGATCACGTGATTCACTATCTCCTTTAAAAAAAAAAAAAAAATAGGTGACAATAAAAGCGAACTGGAGGCTTTCGAATGGATCAACGACCAACAAACGTGTCTCAATCGTGGAAGCTCAGCGTACGTTTAACCATGTGAAAACCATATTCGCTTTACAATGGCGTGCATTGTTTGGCGCGATCCTGATGTTGGCGGTTTATGTGGTTAATTGGGTGAGTTGATGTTTAGATTGTCTACTGATTGTTGACAGACAAGATAACCCAAAACATTTGCCATCCTGATTGTCATTATTTATTTTTTTTTATTTTTTTTTTTTAAAAAAAAAAAAGAGCTATTTTGACGTTTTTAGCTCATCCACCATTGATTCTACATTGTTTTCTCAATGGTTCCAATGTCTACTGAATGGCGGTTCGCAAACTTCTTGCGTCCCCCAAACCATTCCATCAATCAATTGGACTATCGTGCTTCTCTTCGCCAATCGTGCCCTTGGCATATTGATCTTTCTCATTCTCGCTGCCAAAAAAATAATTCTCGTCGAAGTTTGGAATCTACTCAACGGTCGTATCGATCTGCGATCATCATCATCCTCCTTTCTCCCTAGAAATCATGGAAACATTTCAATGAGTTCCATCGAACGGGGAGAAAGACTTGGAAGAGCAAATGAAGCTGACATCAGGGTATCCGGAATTACTTCGGGTCTTGGAAGCATGTCAAGCGATATCGAGGACACAAAAAGCTCGCGGACATCTTACTCTTCCATGACATCGTCAGACGTTTCTCCATCCACGATTATGTCACTTCCAGGAAGAACTTTGCATCCACCGTCACTCGGACTTGTGCCGATTCCCGTGTCAGGAAGAGAATCAACAACCACTTCGCACCCATCACCATCAATTCCCGCGAGAGCGTCACTCGGGCTTGTGCCAATTCCCGTGTCAGGAAGAGAATCAACAACCACTTCGCACCTATCACCATCGATTCCCGCAAGAGCGTCACTCGGACTTGTACCGATTCCCGTGTCAGGAAGAGAATCAACCACCTCGCATCTATCACCATCGACTCCCGCAAGAGCGTCACTCGGACTTGTGCCGATTCCCGTGTCAGGAAGAGGATCAAAAACCACTTCGCACCTATCACTACAGGCTCCCGCAAGAACGTCACTCGTGTCAGGAAGAGGACTAACCACTTCGCTCATGTCATCATCGACTCCCGCAAGAACGTCACTCGTGTTAGGAAGAAAATCATCCACTTCGCACCTATCATCATCGACTCCTTCAAGAGCGTCACTCGGAGTTCTGCCGAGATCCTCATTAAATATACGACTTCCCCTAAGACATTCCACCAACCGTATTTCGTTTTCCGGCGAAATTTCAGAAAGTAGCAAGCGGACGTCGTCTAATTCATCATCTAATTCTGGTAGTGCAGCAAAGGGAAAAGTCAATGTTGCTGTGCCAAATGGTGGTTTTGTGGTAAAAGCCAATCGAACGTATGAACGGAATAAACGACGTTCTCGGGAGTTGGCGAAAAAGATAGCGAGGAACAGTATTTCCGAGATTTCGGAGGATGAAGAAGAGGCATCGGAAGATGATAAAGGGAATATACAGGAGAGAGGGTCAAAGGACGGCAATGATGACAAGATGTCGGAAAAAAGAACGACATTCGGAGGTGAGAAATCGATTAAATGGACATGGAGCAAAGATCGACCTCTAAGTTATTCGAAACCTTGATAGAAACACTTTACCAGAAGGGATGGTATCAGTGTTTGTACTTTCTAAAAATAGTCAAAGTGATGGTGGAGATGGAAATGGAAAGGTGGAAACAGTAATCGGATGTATCCGAGGAAACGATCATGCCGACCTGAATCATTTAATTTTAAAGCTTAGGGAGTTATTGATGTACTTACCTGACGGCGTCGGGTATCAATAAATCTCGTGAATAAAAATTAATATTTAAATAACCATTTAAAGATTACCTCGCTCAAATGAGGAACTACTTGATTTGATAATAAACCTAATCGTTCGCATATCGAATTATTTTTTTTTTTTTTGAATTATTTTTTATTCGAATGGTTATATCATTTGTATCGAAATCCGTGATTAGAAAGTCTGATTCAACAGGCAAGCAGTAGTTTGAAAAGGCATTTTTCAATAAATCTTCAATAAAGAATTGTGTATTTTGAGGTTTTAAAAAAATTCTCAAAATTAAAAAGTTTACAAGTTGAAATGTTGCATCCTACAGTAACTTTGATTTCTCGACAATTTCAGTCATCAAGATATATTTCTCGAGAGAAAAGAGATACCTGGTTGAACAGTTTAACTAAATGTTCTCTCGATTGCAAAGGGAAATTGATTTGACAGTAATCGAAACTTTGGGTTCATTCAACCCGTACGATTTTATGCCTTTAACGCGTTCAGTTCGTAATTAAGTATAAGGAGAAGGGTGTACACCACTTACTAAAAAAACATGTACAAGTGAGTGATGCATGAGTGAGTGATGCATGGCGTTTGACTTGCCTTGCACTCATTGCTCTAAGAATTAAGACATACAGTATAGATGTTTCTTGACCATTTATTAAAGAAATTTGCGACAATAAAATTAAAGTGATCGGTGACCCTTGTCGTGATCAAGGAGAATATGATGTTGACACCGGTAAAGAAAGAGTAAACCAACCGCCCGTTCAGTCAACCATAATCTCCAGAAACATTTCCAAAACATCATCTCCATAATCCGCATTCCACATGTTTCTCCTTTTATTCTCCAGTTCTTCACTCGTGACCTTCTCATTTTCATGTACACCGATCACAAGAAACTTCTTTTCAACATCATACTCGATCAATTCATCACTCAAGATCTTATTATTTAAATAAACCTTAATATTGCTGACTCTCCTATGCTCACCCACGTTCAGGTAAAACCCGCAACTTCCGTATCCAGTTAATTTCACCTTATAAAATACCATTCCCCTCCTATTACCACTTCTCATCACACCCTTACTGGCTCTAATGCTTGCCTTGTGATTATTCGGAACGCGAAAATCCACGGCATAATCACTTCCTCCTACATCCCAACCTTCACTAATGTATTCTGCAACGACTATGGCTTTTGACCCGTTGTACTTGTCGACCAACCCAAAGCACGCGATCTCCACTCTAATTTCGTATTCAAATGGCGCTATGACTAGCAGAACATCAATCGGCGAAATCGTAACAACCTCGAAACCCCGAGGTTTCACCATTATGGCCACCTGCTTTTTCGACCCCATGCTCCCGATTTTTTTCACTTCTCTGTTTTTGAAAAAGTATAGAGCATACTCAACATCCTCCGTAATACAATTAATTTTTTCGCTGTTCCGGAATCTCGGATCGCGATGCATTTCTTCGTTGACTCGAGCTTTCGCGTCATCAGTGTCAACGGCAATACCATAAACGTCCTCCAAGTCGAATTTGTCCACCACCTCTTTTTCTCGGCAATTCCACAGACCAAGAACGCCTATTCTTTGATTAACATTACTGATCTTTAAAAGTTTATCAACCGTTGTAGGATCCTCGAATATGTTTCCGATAGACGGCAAGGCCGGTGTCTCGCTTCTTAATATTCGTTGCGTGAAAACCTTGGTGAACTCACCCGGTAGATTTTCCGCATGATCAGTGGTAACGGACCTTATCTCATAGGCGGGAGTCTTGACTATGCACTTTTCCAGAATGGCCATATTATGTTGACGCGGCGGGTCCGAAATATAAACCGGACCACCACTGATCGCTCTCGCTGCGGCGTGATATTCGGCAAATTCGTGATTGGTTTGAAACGCATCCCTTTAAAAAAGCGGATTGTGATCATTGAACAATTGTACCGAAATATCTCACTTTATTGTCTTTCATACTCACCAATCCGGAACACCAAAGAAACTCGTCCAAATGTTGTTCATGGAGTTTACATAGAGATGCAACGCATGAGAGCCATGCTTGCTTGAACAATAATCATCACTATTCCTACGAACCGTCCACAGTGTTAATGAAAATGGCAATCATAGCACCAAATAAAGAATTTCTCGTACCTGAAGACAGGTTTGCACACTCCCACCTCGGTTGGCAAACCATCATTTGAAATTATTGGTTGCATAACATTGGGACTATGAGCCATGCTATAAATGACTCTATTGTCAAAGTACCTTTCAGCGCATTTATTCTGTGAACCTTGATACTTCTTACGCCATCGGCAACGTTCAATTTCGTCAAGCTCAATTAAATCGAAACTCGCATGCGAATCAACTTTCACGAGTTCTACACCTTGGGTTTTCAGGAACCTGTAGAAATCGTCATAAAAATGGGTGACATATTCGGGAGAAACAAGATTCATGGTCCTTCCTTCTCCTCTAACTTTCTCAAGACAATATTGCTTTGCCAATTCAGAATTTGGATCAATGCCGTTCCAGTATCCGCATAACGTGTGCCTGGTCGAACATGGTAAAAGAATTATTGTTATTAAAGAAGAAATTAAAAGCATCAGTAAACTCAACCAAAAAAAGAACCTACCAAACACCAAAATAGTTCAAATATGGGTAGTTTCCCTTAACGTATTGGACAAATTCCCTCAGTCCATCAGGAAATTTCTCGTTGGCCTCAAAATTTTGTAATTGACGATTATGACTAACTTGCTGCCACCCATCTTCCATTATCATGTATCCAACATGTATTCCTGATGAATCTAAGGAATGCAATACATCCACAAGATCTTGTCGACGTACATTTTCGTGGAATCTAAAATTGCACCAAATTTATGTACAACTAATGTAATATAATAAACGTAATGATGGAAATTACACTTACGCATTCCATGTACAATAACCAAGTTTCTCATAGTATAATGGATGATCATTCTTCGTGTGGATATTTTTCTTGTGACTACGAATGCGCCCATAAACTGTTTTCGCTAAATCCATACACGCCTTTGAGGTTGCATAAGGATCATATCCACGTCCCACGACAAATCTAGCTAGCTCGTCCTTTCCACTGTAATTATTAACAATGTAAATCAAATTTCCATTTTCATCCGACCGAAAGCAACTAGTACAATCTTCAGCAGTCAGAGGGATAAATACAACGTAGTGTCCAGTGGACTGTTGAGCGATTAGGTACACGACGTCTTTTTGACAGATGTCAAGTTTACATGTTCCAGTTGTTGGCAAAACCCAATAGGCTCTGAAGCCACAGCATGGGACCCAGAAGATTAGAGAAGGATGAATAATAAAAAAATGAAGACAATCAGAGTAACGAAATGAAGTACTCACGAGTGGCGTTGTAATCCGACGAATCGGATCATATTCATGATACTACCCATATTGTAACTCACTGATTGCTCATCATCAGCCTTTGCTTCCTTGGCAACGATCCAACAACTGGTGTTTCCATGAGAGCTACATCTAACGCCCACGTTAATGAATTCTTCACCAAAGATAGAATCGATTCCAACTTTATACGCATTTTTGAAATCGAATACAAACACTTGACCGTTCCGATTTCCGTCAACGTCAATCCATTGCCAATCTTCTTCGTAAGTTTCCATTATTCTCTTAACCCTAAAACAAAATTCGTGTTGCCCTTGATTAACGCCATCAGTTGGAATTATCGCCTCGAAAACGCGATATTTTTCGTCAGAATCATTGCCGATGAGTTGATTATCATCCAGTTCAATCAAATCTGTTTGCGACCACGATGAAAACGTTAAATTAGACCAAAGCTGAACGCTCAACCTTTGCGGATGTCGATAATCTTCATCGGCGAGAATCCAAATTGTGAAAGTGAGCGGATTCGGCCGGTAGACATAGTTAGTGGTGGAAAATTTTGGGTATATTCGAAACTTCATTTTTGAATTATCCACGAATTATCGAAGAAACATTACACTTTAAAGAATTATTTATAAAAAAATTATTTACAAAAAAAAAAAAATAAAGTTTCTTCAAGTTTCCAATCGAAATCAATGTGCGGGAATTGAGTTTTAAAAGGTTCTACCCAACATTTATATTTGATGTAAGATTTTCATCAAGCATTCCGGTTTTAGAATGTCTAAAATTTTAACATCCACCAAAATGGGAATTACGTATTTTCATGTAATTTCATTTGTGAATATAACCTCATAAGGAAAAGGATGAAGGTGCGTGTGTACAATTTACCAAATCCCCAGAAAGAAATTTTAAATGAAGTAAACACTTTTAGCTTTCATCAACCTAAAAAGAAAACACGTGATTATGGAAAATCTAATTAAAATAATCACGCAAATCTTTCTTCATTAAATGAGAACTTTAAAATTGGAAACTGACTGTATAATGATGATTCGTAAAAAACAAAAAAACAAATGAAAAAGTAAGCCCGTAGCAAATGCATGGTAAAATTTGATAAAGATCTCATCAAGAGTTATGCAAATGATCTTGAGACAAAATATGATTTGTTTGGAGAATCAAGTGTATTCGCATGGTTGATAATCAAAACTTTTTCCTTAAACAAAGTATAAAAAATGATAATAACAATAACCATTAATAAACAAAAATTGTTTAGGATACCGAATTTTTTACTCATGCCTTCTCATACAATCTTTCCCTTCCTTCCTAATCCATAAAATATCCGTCCACCACGCCATGTCAACAGTCCCTATCATTTCTCTCGATTCAAAAACATGTAATTTCTTGCGGCACCTGTCTGCAAAAGTTTGTGCAGCGATTGGCGCAGCATACACACAACAATGAATCCAGTATTGCACATATAATACTTTGCGTTCGGGCCACTATCATGTATGTAATAATTATTTTAAGCATAATAATTACTATAATTACTGCATTATTATTCCGATTATCTAGATGTCTGCCTAAATTTTTTGCCTATTCAGAATATATAACATATGATTATTGTTAGGGACCAAAGAGATCAAGCTAAGCCCAATTTGAAGTGATCTCTAAAATCATATACTATATATGAATTATTATTTACTATGTACAGGCTTTATACATCATTACATGAATATCTAACGAAAAACTAATATGAATTGGTCTTCCGGACGACACAAAATATTTCATAATCTTCGTTAAAAAAAACAGCATGATTTGAATCATTCACACGATTCCTGTACACTACTACCCCTGAAATTAAATCCAATAAAAATAAATTAAATTAATCTTTACTATTCAAATCGGATCCCCATATACTGTAGGTTCAAGTCCAACCTCACGCCTGACCCTCTGTCGAATGTTTGAGCAAGATATTTCGAGCACCATTCACATCCCTGTCAATTTCCAAATTATATGAATCACATTTGAACGTCTTGGATCCACCAAGATCGTTTTTTATGAATCCACAATTCCCACACGTTTTTGTTAGTACAATCAATGATCTTACAAACACTGAACTCCCTTGCCTTATGATGTAAAAACATCCGAAACCTGAAATGAGACCAAGTCAGCATCGCATGAGCAGTCTTTACCGAATCTTTCGCTTGTTCTTTAAACCCATCTTCGAAGATTCGAACTTGGGTAAAAGAATAATCTCGTGGTTCTGATATAACCAATAGGACAGCTGGTGATAATCAAATTATGGATTCGTTACATGATTCATAACATCTTTTTTCTCAATTGAAATCTCTTTCTCTTATTTGCTCTTCCCAAAGCAAGGTCACTGTTACTTTGTAATTTGTCATGTTTCTTGGATAACTTAAGATTACCATTACCCCCATTTGATTAATTGACCATTGGGATTGTAACCAGTCATAAATATACGAACACTCGGATCAAGTAAGATTACACATTCTTGAATATATTATCTTGGTTATCGACAACGTTCAAGGGGACGGAGTAGAAATGGCCCAACCTATTCATAGTGACGTTTACTATGTTGCATATTTTTGATAATTTTTCTGATGTTATTATAGGTTTCAGAAATATGTATTTTTCTCTTTTTCGATTCCAGTCTCTTGCAAATATTGAGATCATTTGAGATTGATCTTTTTTTGATTTGTATTTCATCTTGAAATTATCATCATGTAATATTTTATTCGTTTATAATATTTATATCATTTATTCCATCATATTGCATATCCATCACACAGTTTTACCTATTTTCTTGGTTTTTCTTTTTCTTCTGGGATTGGATACATTCATATTTTTTGAGCTTTCAACTTTTGTTTGAATTATTTTAAAATAAATATAAATTCCTATACTTTCAATTAGAACTTTTAAAAAGTTGAATCAAGTCAATTTTAAATGATTATATATATATATTTTATAAAATAAATTATATTTCAATTAAAATTTACAATATTTTTTATTTATAAAAGTCTATACAAACCTATAGAAATTAAAAAAAAAACTAATTTTCAAAGTTCTACTTTCAAATTTAATATTTTTAATAATTTGTAATTTAAATATTTTTACTTGAAATATTTGTATTGTTTATTTAAAAAATTTTTATTTAAACTAACTTAAGTATTGTGGTAGAATAGATAACTTAGTCTTATTTTTACTTATTTTTATCAAATTATTATTAGTTTATTTTTAGCAGTAGCATTTATTATTTTATTATAGTATAAATATCTATTTATAGCATGTGTGA